GAGATGGTCAGCATACAGATTAAGAGTCATTCACAATTGTCTCCTGTTCTTTAAGATACTTAAAATGCACATTTTTAGTTAGGGAATTGTGTTTGCAAATTCTGTATTGGCACTAATTATTCAAGAGTGACACCTGAGAACAACTCCTGTATGTCATTACTGTAGCTGGGGCCTCTGTCATGTGTGACACTGAAGTTGGGTACATGCAGTAGCGTGACTACATGAATCTTAAAGAAGTCCAGAAGATGGGCAGCAGAAGTGAGCACTCATCAGAACCGGAAGGTTTTTTATTACTTGACCTGATACCATAGTGCTTGTGCTGCTGCCAACACTACCATTTTATTGGGAGTTTAAATTTACCAACAGGTCCTTCAGATGAATGAGACCTCCTTTCATAATCTGTTTTAAAAGATTCACCTAATATCGTCTGTTCTTTTAATTTTTTCTAATGAGCAATTGTCACTGGCAAGAAGAAAGAGCAGCTGAACAGCCACAGCCTGTGTCTTTCCTGCAATACACCTGGGATGTTGAAATTTAGTTTCCTGAACTATACAGGGCGTGAGAGAAAAACAGTATCTTGCATATAAATTACCAATAAATAACTGAATAAAACATTCTGCCTTATTTTCAAATCTTACATTGTCTAGATAACAAATAAATATCCCACAACCCCCAGAGATTTGGTAGCGGCTTAAGGCTGGCAGGCTGTGACTTCTAAAATAATCACCTTGAGGCCAGCCCTAGGGGGACTTGCTTTGCAGCATTCCAGATAGGATTTTGGGCTCATTTTCCAGAGCACTCTTCTGTGATGGTGGCTTCAGTAACATGACCTTTTGGTTTCAAACACTTCAGATTATGTTTACACTGATGTTGCTACTGGGCTTAGCTTCACATAATTTGAATAACTAAATCCATCTTCATGGTTCCTTTTTTTATAACTGTTACCAGTGATTCCCATATTGTTCATACTGGTTTTCAGTTATCACTGGATGGGAAATGATACCAAATCCGTGAACATTTTCAAATTAAAATCTGTTTCAAAAGAAATGAAACATTTTGACAAGATTTGAGGAACATGAGGATGTTCTGTTTCAGTTCGAGTGTTCTAGTTAACTTAAGAAGTATTTAAAGTTGGAAACTGGGCAATGACCAGACTTTAACCTCAAAAATTTTCACAATAGGAGATTTGTTTGGTTTATTCTCTCTCCCTTGAATTAAAACAACTTTTTTTTTTATACAATTCATCACTTTGAAGGAAATGGTTATTTTCTCAGCAGTCTCTCAGCTCATTCGCCTTAACCTGACTTCAGTTGAACTTCTGCAGCCAGCGTTTGGATGATAATAACGTTGTATTGTGATACGCATTTTTCTAAAATCTTGTTAAAATTGATTAAAAGCTGTATTACTGAAATGCGTGTGGGCTCGTTTCCGGCCAGGGCGGGCCGGGGGGCGCAGCGGG